AACACTGTCAAGAGTTTTGCCATCACGTCCAGAAATCCAAAGGTATTTTCACAGATACTTAAGAGAGTCAGTCATTTTTAGCTTACTCAAGTAGTCTACCACTCATGAATGGAGGAGAGAGTTACTTCATCATACTCTGGGTATGTTGTCCTAAAAACTGACATTTCTGCACTGAATTCTGCACATGGGTCTCTTCTGTCAGTGACTTTCTAGAGCTATGCATGACCACCTGCAAGTGAAAGTGGTTGATGAGGATGGAACAACTGCAATGAGACAGAAAAAATGTTTAACACCTTGTCAAAAAACATAATGTCATTTACATAAGAATATCTATGATTTAAAGGCAGCCACAAATCCAATGTGTCTGTCAAGTACTGTAAGAATTTAATGATATTTGGAGCCACCAGGACAATTTTAGTCAAAATCTTGTATAATGGTATTCATTTTTAGATCTACTAAAACAGACATGTTATAGATCTGGACTTCTTATCAGCTGAAATCCTAAATTTTATACAGAAGGGGCAGCCAATAAATGTTCAGGATGACCAAGAGGGAAATAAAAGAGAAATAAGAGATTTAGTTTGCTTTACCTTAGGTCATGTCTTTTTTCCCCCTCTTTCTGGTTTTAAATGTTTCCTTTATACAAAATGCCATGGTTCAGCACACTTGAAAATTAAAGACTACCAAAGATCAAGGTTTGAGTCCTTCCATTCATGAAAGGAAATTAAAATCATCACTAAGAGCATCATTTTTTATTATTCTGATATAAACCACTCAGAAAATACCAAAAAGAAGCAGCATATTCAGTATTTAATAGGTTGTTTTGCCTTTCTGTATTTATTTATTAATAATATATTTATCTATTATTATTAGAATTTATTAAAATATGTGTGTATGAAGAGCTGGCATCAGTAGCCACATTCTGATCTCATGCACTCTGTCCCAATCCCATCTGTCCTGGATTGCAAATTAAGGTAAGGTAAATATCCAGGCACAAACGGTAAAGGAATATCCAAGGGATTAGCAAGAATTAAATGATTCTGAGGCCAATTAAATTATATGGGATATTTAATGGTTGGACTGGATGATCTTAAAAGTCTTTTCCAATCTTGATGATTCTATGATTAATCTGAACACAATATTAAAAATGTGTAGAGCAAATACATTGAAAGGTGTTTTTCTTTTCCAGCCTGAACAATCCTGACCACTGTTGCCACTGAATTACCCTTGTCATAGCTACAAGAAGGAGCTTCCCACCTAAACTTTCTAAAATTTTATTCATGTTGTTCTTCTGTAACCTACTTTACATTGATTTAATCAAGCTCCTTTAAGCACACACAAACTTAGTTTGCCATTCTTAAAATGTTTTATAATAGCGCATTTAATAAAGCTAATTTAAATCTGCTAATTTATAGAGACTTGCCAGAGGCTTTGAAACTTCAGAAAATGTGTAAACTTAACAGTTTGGCTGTGATAACAACTCAGACAGTGGAAATTAAGCCCTTTGCAATACAGTCATCTTCAAAGTGGATTCCTGGTTTGATTGCAAAAAGGGTACATTGCAAAAATACAGCAGGACACCTCTATGCAAAAGATATTTCAGATGCCCCAGTTCTTGAATTTGGTCATTACTGTGCCTCAACATCACAGCCTCAAACATACACTGAGGTCTCTCATTTTAAGACTACCTGGATTCTTTTTTACAACCAAGTTTTGGACAAGAGCAGAGTTTCTTATTCAACAGCCCTCTGTCAGAGCTCTGAGAGAGTGCACTTAGGGCCATTAATTCTGGGTCCCTAATTCTGGTTGTCAGTCTTCCAGCTGCTGCTATATAGGTTTGCTACTGTCTGCTCTAATTCCTGCCTTTGAGAACCAAATGATAATGGATTATATGCCAGAGTGGGAATAGGCACATTGGTTGGGATCCAAGCTGTATCCCAGGTGATAACAGGGAGAAGCAGTGAAAAAAAATAAAAATAAAAACTCAGCTCTTCAGTGTTGTATCAGGGAGCTTCATCTTTACTAGAAGAAGTCTTTGTACACAGCATTTAAATGGTAACTAATTGATCCTTATCATCGTCTGATTTGCAGAAAATTGTAGCTTTCCTTGAAGATATAATTGAAATTTTCAGGGCTACTGTTGCAGACCTCTCCCCAATTTTTCACAAGGGAGAAGGCATTAAAGCTTCCCCCATTAAGACTTGTAGGGTTGCAGATTTTTAAGGGACACAACCTCATTGCTTTGAAGCTTTTTTCAGTATCTGTTAAGTTCAAGTCATCCTTTAATTTTTTTCTTCCCCTGCTAATTGCACCAAAATATTCATCACGGCAATCTGGAATATATTCTTGGATGGGGTTTTTTAGTCTCTCCTGCTTCAATGCTTTTTCTGTCAGTTCTGTCACTGCTTTCCTTACTGCTTTTGTGTACTGAGAAACAGAATTAAGGTGTACTGCAACCAGTGGACACTTGCATAAACAGCCTGCTTTGAATAAAACAGCATGATCTGGGGAGAGGAAAACCACCTTCAGCTCTCCTGCCCAAATGCTAAAACATAGATGAGGTTCATATGTACTATTAAAGCATCACATTTATGCTTTGAGATCACTGAAATGCTGTGAAGAGCAAAAAAATGTAAATAAACTGAACAGGGAGCATAAAAGCACATTGATCCCCAGGTTCTGAAACCACATTTTAAATGGTTTATATTTGTAATTTATTTAAGACTGTTTCTGGCAAATCCATTAGTAATGAATCTCCTTCACACATTTTTATTCTTATGCACAAGAGCTTTAAGTTTACCAGGACTTCTGCAAAGCAACTTTTACTGCATCATATTACTGCATTCCTTGATCTCTCCCAGCACACACAGCAGCCACACTCAAACACAATGTTTAGCTCTGCAACAGACACCTCCAAAACAAGGTATTTCTTCTAAATTAACACAGCTGTGAAAAAGAAAGCAAACACAATGGTTTTGCCCTGTCCCTCCAGCGTTTTGCATCCGATGTCCACTTAAAATCAGCACGATCCTCCGCGACCCTTGTATCCTAAATCCATGTGGAACTTCTTCTTTGGGTATTGATGTAGAACCGGGAGCTGCCAGCTCCGATCGCTCTCACCAGCACACGAGCTTGAGATTATTTCATAATAGGAAAAGATGGCCAGCGTTTTCCTGACAGAAGTACCATACATTTTTCAGTCAGTAAAAATTACAGAGCTCACTGACGATGCCTTAACCACAGAGAACAAGGACTGCAGATTACCCAGCAAAGATTTTTTGGGTTTTTTTTGGTATACACAGAACAAAAAAACCAGCACAATCTGCAAAACTTATTAACTAATGGGGTTTGAAACCCCCTCTTTGCATGCTGCCGACACGCTCACAGCAACTTATGCATTGATCTTATTCAAAAAGCACAGTAATCTTAATGCTGCTAGAATTTGAGTTCTGCGTGCCGTAGCAGACACTGCAAAGAAAAAGAGAAAAAAAAAAAAAAGCCTTTAGGAAAGGCATGTGCTGAACACACAAAATATGCAGGATGGAAAAAGACCAAATGTAATTAAAGCTTATATGAAATGAGACATTCCTATTTGCAGAGCTCTGACTGCATCTCTATGAGAAAGAATGCACAGAATTTCAAATCATGCTCTATTTAGACAATGTCAGAAGAAAAAAAAACACATTTTCCCCACACACACCCCTCAATCCCCCACCTGAAGACCAAAAAGCAAATCTCATCGTCAGAATTAGAGAGAAAAGGCAATCCAAAGAGACTGGTTTACATATTCCTTCCCAAACCAAGTAATCGAGTTTCTCCCTCTCCCGGCTAATAGCTTATAAATACAGACTTTAAACAAAAGCATCCGAGTAAAAAAGAGAAAGAATCCTAATTCTCAAGCTTCCTACTTAGCACTGCCTCGCTTTTGATGATTTGTGCGGCTGTGTGTGCGTGCCTGTTTGAGAAATGGCGAGATAGGCTTAAAGTATTTTCCATTTCATCAAAGAGCATATATTACTTTCCTGGTTCGCTCCGATGTTGGTTTTATGCCCACCCCTTTTCAATCTGCCCATGTCTGAGATGCACAGTGCAGGCGTACAATCATGAGCAGCTTACGACACTCAGTGAACACTGGGTGCCTCTGCATGCTCTAGCAACATACTGCTCAGCTGAAGGGAAGGGATTCTTGCTGTCTCTCTCTGCTCTAAGCATCACCTAACAAGCAAAGCGAACAAAGAATGGGAAATAAAGCGACCCTTAGCCGGTCAGTGAATGAATGGTAACCTCTCTCTGGAGTAAAGGTTGTGCCGGTCCATGGTCGTTGCAAATGATGGACATTAAACAGATTGACAAATCCTGTGGAGTCGTTAGTAAAGAGTTTGGAGTTTTTTTCACGCCACAGTGTTAACTGCAGAGGAAAGGACAGAGGGAGAAGGAGAAGATCAAGCTCATGTACATAGTTCTGAAACTTGCAGGTCCTAGGAGGCAGCTCAAAAGCTAGCTGGACAAGCCTTTCGCTCGTTGAGCAGAAGCGAAGTGAGACATTGTGAGCTTGCCAGCCTTGCACAACATTGAAAGGGACTGAATTTGTAGCACAGAGGGGTCTTTTTTAGCTCTGCATATAATTAGTCCAAACACAAAGGAAGCAACTGAATGGAGGTTGTCACTCTCTGGAAAAGGGTGGGTAAGACACTTTTTAATTAAATTCTTTCATGAAGAAAGATTTTTTTTTTTCTTTGCTGCAGCATTTAACATGAACAAATTCACTATCATTTTACCTTTGAATGTCTGTGAACTTTAATGCTGCACAGCTCCTGCATGCTGTAAAGTGAAATATTTGCCTCTGTGTTTGTTCTGTTTGCTGTTTTGCTTTGGTTTTCGGGCTTTGTCTCGTTGGTTTGCATTTTTTTATTTTTTTTTCCTCCCTTAAATAAAATATGATGTAGAATTTGAAAAGATTCAATGGACATTCTCAAGCATATTTGGAAATATTCTTGCTAATGGATTTCCTTCTTATTGGTCTCTGTTTAAACTGGCTGCTGAGGAAGCCCCCGGGGTTGATATTGTGTACGCTGGGTATCTTTTCTAAAATGCTTCCAGCTGTGAATAGTGGGTGTCCACAGCTCTGTCGGTGTGAGGGCAGGCTTTTGTACTGTGAATCACTGAATCTCACAGAGATGCCTCGCAACCTGTCGGGCATGATGGGCTTGTCTCTGCGGTACAACAGCCTTTCAGAGCTGCATGATGGACAGTTCACAGGGTTAATGCAGCTCACGTGGCTCTATCTGGATCACAATCACATTTGCTCAGTGGAGGGGAATGCCTTTCAAAAATTGCGGCGAGTTAAAGAGCTCACCCTGAGTTCCAACAAAATAACCCAACTGCCCAACACCACTTTCCGCCCCATGCCAAACTTGCGCAGTGTGGATTTATCGTACAACAACCTACAGTCTTTGGAGCCTGACCTGTTCCACGGGCTGAGAAAACTGACAACTTTGCACATGCGGTCGAACGCCATCAAGTTCGTGCCAGTGAGAATTTTTCAGGACTGTCGCAGCCTGAAGTTTCTAGACATAGGATACAATCAGTTAAAGAGCCTGGCTCGAAACTCTTTTGCAGGCTTGTTCAAACTCACTGAGCTGCACCTCGAGCACAATGACTTGGTGAAAGTGAATTTAGCCCATTTTCCCAGGCTCATCTCCCTGCACTCCCTCTGCTTGCGAAGGAATAAAGTCACCATCGTAGTAAACACTTTGGACTGGATATGGCAACTCGAAAAGATGGATCTCTCTGGCAACGAAATCGAATACATCGAACCTCACGTTTTTGAAAGTGTACCTCATCTCAAATCCCTGCAGCTGGACTCCAACCGGCTGACCTACATCGACTCCCGAGTCCTCGACTCCTGGAAGTCCCTCACGAGCATCAGCCTCTCCGCCAACGCCTGGGACTGCAGCCGGAACGTCTGCGCCCTGGCCTCCTGGCTGAGCAACTTCCAGGGTCGCTACGACAGCAACCTGCTCTGTGCCACCCCCGAGTACGCCCAGGGAGAGGATGTTTTGGACGCCGTGTACGCCTTTCACTTGTGCGAGGACAACGCCGACCCCACGAGCGTCAACACCTTCTCCCCGGTGACCAACAACAGCGAGCAGACGCTCGGCTATGGCTCGGCCACCGCCACCTACGACGCGCCCGAGGGCGACGAGGACCGGACCACGTACGCCGTCACCATCACCATGCCCGGCGAGAACTCCGAGAACGCCGTGCAGATTCACAAGGTGGTGACGGGCACCATGGCACTGATTTTTTCCTTCCTCATCGTGGTTTTGGTGTTGTATGTCTCCTGGAAGTGCTTCCCAGCCGGCTTAAGGCAACTAAGACAGTGCTTTGTCACACAGCGCAGGAAGCAGAAGCAAAAACAGACCATGCACCAAATGGCTGCCATGTCAGCCCAGGAGTATTACGTTGATTACAAACCCAACCACATTGAGGGAGCCCTGGTGATCATTAATGAGTACGGATCTTGTTCCTGTCACCAGCAGCCAGCGAGGGAATGCGAGGTGTGATTTTCCTTTGGGATTTAAACAGTGTGCAACCAAATAACAGCGTGCAGGCAGACAGTGGCACGGGGTGGGGGGGTGGTGCTGGGCTTTGCTGGTGATTTCTGACGTGCACCCCAGCCCAAATTGTTTAAGAGGGGCTGTCCAAGAGACTTGATATTTTAGCTTTATCGTGTCTTAAAAACCTTCAGGACAGCCAATCTTAAGGTTTCATATGCTAATACTCCCTTTGAAGATCTGTCAATATTCAGGAATCTGAGAGTGTAAAAAAGGTACCAATTATTGATCTTTTGTAAACTAAGAAAACTGTTTAAAATAAAAAAAAAAAAAAAATAGCATTTACAGTTTTTACAGACTGGTGTATATTACATGAATGGCTCCCTGTATACAAAATGCAACAGTTTAACCTCTCTCTCTTCATGCTGAGTGTTGAAATGAAAAGTCGAGGAGCAAAGAAGCCATGTAAAATAGAAAGCTTAAAATTACCCAGGTGGCTTCCCATTGTAATTAGCACACATTCACATACATCATGCTGCTGAAGATATGAAGCATGACACTGGAATTCTATTTTTGTTAATGTGCTACCTGTAACTGGACGTCAGTACAACAAGGAGCAGAGCTCCTCAGAAAGGCTGAAGTTTTGATGATGTCCCTAGGACAGGATTTCTGAGGATTTTTAAGTACAGCTCACTTGTTAGTTGCTGTTAGATCCATAAAAATTGCATTATAACCCATAAAAGTATTTTGTATCAAAACTGATCATATTGCAAAGACTCACTAAAAGAAAACAACCAACAAAACCCAAACAAGTGAAACACTGCCAAAATGTGCTCATCAGAATTTTCTTTACTGTAAAAAAAAATGTGCTAAATTTAAGGGCTTTTACATGCATTTCCCACTTTTATGCTTGTTTTGAGCTATGCCAAGAGCAAAGATCCCCTCATTTTGTGCCCTGTGGTGCCATGGTGAATGGATAAGAGAAAAAACAATTATTTGGGTCTAAGTGGTGAAGCTCAAGAGCAAAACCACTGTCAGGGTAGGACAGAGAGTTTTCAGAGCACCCTTCTGGGTCCTGTAGCAAAGTGCTGGCAAAGCCCAGCTTGTGTTCCTCCCTTCCACCACCGGCCTTCACTAACAAACAACCCCAAAACCTCTGCAGAGGCTGGAGGCAGATGTACCCTCCTTACTAAGGACTGAAAAATGGCATTGATGGATATAAGCAGTGATTTCATGATGTAGAATCCCACAGCTGTTTTATCTGACTGCCCTTAAATAAAGGCTTCCTCTCCTTGTATTTTGGATTTTTCATTCCAGAATGTGAACAAGCAACCGACTGATCTTCTCACCAGCTCCTCTCATACTAATTGACGATGAGGGAGTTTTATAACATCAAGGCAGAGCATCTTGAAATTTTCTTCCTACAGCACTACATGTGAATAAAATGTTATGGATAATGAACTGGGTGACATTTCTATGCTTTGTACATGTTTCTCTATCCTCAGGTTACCACCAAGAGAGGATCAATTCCAAAATCTTACTTGTATTTTAATGTAACACAGGTTTTTTGGGTTTTTTTTCTTTTGCATTGCATTAAAGTGCTACCTACTCTTACAAGGGTACAGCAGGCTTATAAAGCAGAAAATAAGCACAGAAGAAACATTTTTTTTTCTTGCATAGCAGGTTTTAGCCATTAATTTTAAATGTAAAGGGTGAATTTTATTTTTTTTTTTATGACTGAAACTATTTTTAAGGAATCAGAACTTATTTTCCTCTATTTGGTACATGTCCTATTGCGTATTATAAAACATGAAAATAGCCTCTTAATCAAAATTTTTACTCAGTAAGACTATAATTTCATCTGTCAAATGATGGAGAGGACAGCTTCACAGAAAATTTAATGAAAATCAGCTGCTTTTTTTTTTTTCCTAAAGCCACCGCAAATTCACCCACAGCTTTCAAACAAGCAAGCACTGTTAAACCCAGGCTTTTCTCTCTTTAAACAAATGCACATTTCTCTCTCTGTGCCTCAAGCCCACAAGGGCCTGATCCATCCTGCAACTCCCAAGTGACCTGAGGGGTTGAGTGTCCATGTACAAACCTGACAGGGAGGGCAGAGGGAAGGTTCAGAGCCCCTCGTCTCTTTGGGCTCCCGACTGTATTTGAAGCAAAAGTACTTTATTCCATGCTAACCCAGGGCCCAGCTATATTTATTTTCCCCATTAAACCCTTCTCTGAAATCAATAGGAAATTTAACTGTGAAAAATTGGCTCTCTGACTTTGGACTGGGCTATGTGTTCCCCGAGCCCCCAAGCAGCACTTGGTTACAGCCACTTGCCAGGAAGCTTCCAAAGTCAACCAAGGTTGTTAAAATATTGTCTGCATATGGTATAATGAAATATGAACTGCCTTTATTTTGATAATAACCCCCTGTTGCTATCAGGAAATGTGTTGGTGCAGTCATGGTTTTACCCCTGTGAACCTGAGACAAGCCTGATACCAACAAACAATCATCCCGTGGTTGTATTTCCGTGTATTTTTAGCATTTTTGTGGGTTGTATTTGAAACACACGAGTGATTGCACCCCTCTGGAGTTATCCCTGCTGTTTATTGGTGTTAGCAACCTCCAGCTACGTTTGCAAAGACGTGAGCAATTCTGCCTTTGGAATTTATTCACCTCTGTGCTCCATGCATCTGGCATTGACAGCCCAAGTAAACTGAACAGAGCGTTTTTCTTTGAAGGTGCAGTGACTTCTTGAGTGAGAGCTGATTTGGGGTTTGCCTGTTGCCACTTCTCCTGGAGAGAGGTGATGCCCACCAATGACTTGCCACCCTGAGCAGGATGATGGATGGATCCCTCCATGGAGAGCACAGCACTTATTAAAGGATCTATTTCAAAATCCTCCTGCAGGAATCTTTTCCAAGGGTAATCCCTTCTAAAGACAACCTCCTGGTGATTCCTAGAGGATTTCTGGAGATCTTGACACCCTCTGAATATTTACTGGAGAAAAGAGGGTGTCACTGCTGCTACGTGGCATGAAGGCACTCCACAGGGTGCCCACATCCAGGCTGAAAGTCTACGTGAAATTTGTGTGGGTAATACAGAAATCAAAGAGCCTGTATGCCATTCCAATCCAGCTACTGCAAATCCAGTTATTCATCCTGCTCCAGGCTACTTGCATTGGTGTATATGAGAGTTATTATATTTGTACTGCATTCAGAGCAACTGAAGGGACAAATTTTCCCTAATCCTTTCTTCCAAATTTCATGTTCAACAACTGCCCAGAGATAAGTTATTTCCTCTCTTTTGATGCCCTTATTCTGGCCTATTAAATGCCTCCAAAATAAAGCTGAAGAAAAAAAGAAAAAAAAAAAAAAGATGCTTTTGGGGTGAGTTGTGAACACTGTTTTGTCCATGAAATGCTTGGGGAATATCAAAGGAAGGGAAATATTTTAAATACTCCCTTTTTGATGTTCCACTTAATAGGACTAATCTCCCTTTTATAATTACGTAATTAACATTATTTTTTATATTTATATATATATATATATATATTTAACTGTCTGTTTGCACACAACACAGGGTAAAAGGCAAGCAAAAGCTCTACCTTTCCTGAAGCTGGTTAACAGTACCAGTGTTACAAATGTCTAATATGCATTCTCTTGCTGCTAACATCAATACCCACTCACAGTGCACCCAGTGCTGAAGGAACTGTTGCTGTGTATGCTTTGAATGTATATAAGGGATGATTTATTTTCCTTCCTGCCTCTTTTTTTTCCTTCCTTTCTGTACTACTTTTAAAAAAAATGATATGAAACCACAGAACCAATGCTAATGTACCACATTCTGTTTCTGGCCTGAAAATATAAAATACAAAGAAATTCTGTTAAAGCTGCCAATTCCCTCCTTTGCCATGTCTGGGTGCTGCAGGGGGTGAGCCCAAGGGATGAGCCATTCCTTGTGGTCAAAGCAAGGATGCTCTGTACCAGGCTGACACAGCCCCCTGCATACCTGTGCCACAGAAAGACCATGAACCATCCCCTAAGGATATTTTTGTATGCTTTAATATATTCTGTATGTTTTCATGGCTAAGGCATTGAGGGGTAGTTGAGTCTATTTGATAATTTCCTTTAGTTCTGATAAAAAAAAACCAAAAAACAAAAGAACAACCAACCCTCATTTGCTTTTGAGATGGACTACATTTGCTCCTTGTGTGAGTCTCATTCTGCATTAACAGCAAAAGGACTGAGTCCCCCTTCCTCCCCCCTCCAGCTTCTACAGTGGTATTCAGAATGGCAAAAAGGGAGTGTTTAATGAGGAAGCTCATTTCTAGTGCTATTATAATAATAATAGCAGTGATAATAATGAAATTAGGAGGAGACAAAAGATAAGAGGAAAGGCTGGAGTAATGGCAACCAAATCAGGGTGTTACTGGATTCCTCTGCCTTTTCCTTTTGTAAAGATGGTTAACCTGAAGAGGCAGCACAGATGAAAAAGCAAGACTGAGGGTGGGTGGAGAAAGCAGTTTTAAAAACTGTGCAAGCAGGGATGAAACAGCTTCTGCAAAGGAGGGTACAACACTAAATAGCTCCATTCAGCAGGAGAGAGAAAAGGAAGGGATGAAGGGATGGGATGAAAGGGAAGATGAGAGCTGGTGAGAAGGCAAGGGGGGTACTGTGCACACATGGGAAATGAGATTTTTCTGTGCCTTCCCCTCCCACGTTCGGGCTGTGGCAAGGACAACAGCAGGGATTTAGGGAAGATGCCCAGCATCTCTCCCTCTCTCCCTGCCTTTCCCAAGAGTGCAGGGAGGGAGGCATAGTCGGACACGCTTCCCCAAACACACGTGCCCGCAGACCCGTCATTTCCACCTCCCTGTTCCCTGGGAGCACAATGTCCCCCTCATCCATCACGCTGCCTGCTCAACTCCTGCACTGTGCCTCTGCCACCGATTTTTTGGCTGGATTTCTTAGCTATCCTAGTCACAGTTCACCACAGACTTGCTAGAAAAGAGGACTTTTCTACCCAAAATATCTTTTTTTTTTTTTTTTTAAGAAACCCTCATCCAGAGGGATGGGTGATCTTGAGCTACTGCGGATTCTCCTGCTAATTATATCTACACTCATAGTCAGCTTTCACATTCACAGCTCTAATGACAAACAGATCTGAGATATTTTTGCTGTGTTCAATTTACCATTATGCACCAAGGTTATACTTTTCCTTGACCTGCTCAACCCAGTCTAATATTAACAAATTGAGCATTTATGCGGATTCCTTTCCAAGCATGAAGTTGATTAGGAATTTAGGAAATGCTGGTGATTTAAAGATTAACCTTTCATATAA